CATTTATTTCACTAATAGCTATTTTAATTTGTTAGCCTTTTCTATTTTCTCTTATTCCCCTCGCATTTCCTCTTTAGTATGTAAACTTAGTTAAGGTGAACGGGTGTATTTAAACTGATGTAGCGAAGAGTTTAGTCAGAGCGTTATTTCGCTATTGTGAGTGCACGTTGTTATTTCTATCAGCTGTGAACTTTGACTATCGGCTTCGCCTTATCGCCACCGAATTATTATCCTGCCGTTGTAGGTTCTGAGTCAAAGGTAGGTCTTGAGGTGTAGGTCTGTGTAGTAGGTCTGTGAGTTCTAGGTCTGTGAGTGTAGGTCTGTGAGTTTTGAGTTCAGATTAAACTGAACTGTGTAGTCTTGCACTACTTTTGACGTTTAAATTTAGTGTTGAATTATCTTTTAAGTTTCTCACCTTAGTTGATCGATGACTGACCGTAAGCACGGAAGTCCGTGCCGTGTGTAAACTATATTGCGTTCAATAAAAGGGTCTTTTACACTCTTTCCCTGTTTTATTCATCTTGAAGTCTTTTCAAGAAGTTTCAAGATTAAAATTTAAGTAGATCTAGTTATATTACATGATAGCGAAAACGACTAGATCCCACAAACTATTCTGTGATGAAAATAACTTCTGCTGTTACGTTTTGTAACTGAATGTATAATCCATTCTTTTCAATTCAAGTTCTAATTCTGTTTTTTAAATATTCTACACAGCTAAGATTCTATTTACATATTAAGCAATATTTTGTACTCCTGAAATATCCATATTTAATTTGCTCAGTCACTAAAGGAAAAGCTGACTGAAAGCTTCTGATTCTAATTTTCTAATAACACAGTTTGAGGTTTCCTACTTCTGAAAAGCAGAGCTTTTATATCAATGTTTCGGAAAAGGTCGCCAGCGATTTCTTACAAATCATGATTAAAAAATATAACTGCAGTCTCGCCTTAAGTTTCGGCTTGTAGTCATTCAATCTCAGGTAAAACAGTGTGCTGTCCACTCTGATTTGCTGTTATTATTATTATGGATGACAAAAGATAAATCAATTAAATATATATAAGTGTGTGAGAAAAAAGCAATATGCATAACTGGCATAAGCATAACTGACGATCTATATCTGAGTTACTACATTATATGTTTTTGTTTTATTTTTATCCGTGTTTCAATTAAGTTTCCGTGTCTTTTTTAATTCTTAATAAGTTATCCTGTTCGAATACTAAATGTATTTAAAATTAGGCAGAAAGCACCTTTAGATTAGCGTAGATTTTGTATAAATGTTATCGATTCCGATAATGATCAGACACAGGTTTTTCTTCTTCAGTTCCAAAACATATTTGATGCTGAAGAAGAGGAACTTATGTCTAATCGCTTTCCAAGTTCGATAGTTTTATTTAAAATCTGCGCCGGTCTACGGTCTATAAGAAACTTGGATTTTGAAATCAGTTTAATAAAGGCAGAGCATAAAATATATAAATAGAATGTTTGAGAGAATTTAAAATTGATCGTTTTTCTCCTCGAACTTCAATAGACTACGGATGTTTCCTTTACGAAAACAACAACAGATAGAGAAATTCATTACCCACGAAAGTAATCAAAATGAAAAGAAAGATGCCAATAAGAAGCTTAAAATTAAGGCAATAAAGCAATATTACATTATTTTGATTGTTGTTGTCTTGTCCGTATTACATGGAACAATGGTTGCCAGAGCCTACTTCTAAGAGAGGTTGGACTTCTAATTTTCCACTCCCAATTCTGTGGGAGAGCACCCCGAGTGGGATCCGGGGGTTTCCCACCCCTCTCCCCTTCCACCAATCCATGGAGGTAGGAAGTCTAATCCCCACGAGAGGCTCGCAGCATATTTAGAGTGCCGCCATGCCGCATCGACACTAGACATTTAGAAACTTCCATGTCTTCTCCGGGATTCGAATCCGGGCACTTTGGTACTGTAGTAGGTTCCCCTAACCACTCAGCCAAGGCTGCTCAGGGCTGCGGCCTGGTAGCTAGTGGTTGACTCCCGCCGAGTTGGTAACCAATTCTGCATGGATATATCTATACCTGGGTCGGAAGCCAACTCAGCGGTTTACCTCCCCTAACCAGTATACTATCTGGGCGACACATTACTTTGATGTAATATTTGAATAAAACTGTACTCATTTTGAAAGCAGGTCCCTTTTCTCCATAAGAAAAAAAAATTGCAGCAAAACTTGTTAATAAGAAAAGAAAGAGGAGAAAATAAAATGTAAAGCCAATCTCGGAAAAAGCAACATCATATGGATATTACGTTTACAAAATTTATTTGAAAATCTTCACTTTTTCAAAATTTGAATTCGTTAAATATAAATATTTTTTTGCCTTTCATTTATGCCATGTACTAAAATTATCATACAAACATAACTATTTTGGTACAAGATTTAAGTTATTTATTTTGAAATGGTTGCGTCGTTAGCTCCGTAAACATTAGCAAATTTCTATAGCTGCTTGTAAAACGGTTAATGGAATTAAATAAATTTATGATATTTAGATTTTCAGTATTAAGGTAGAAATAACTACATTATTCTCCCCCCTCACGAACTTTTGTTGTTTTCAAAACCAGAAAAAAAGACATTTCGTATTAGCATATTACTCATTTAACTATTTATATTACTGAATAATGAATATGAATACGATTTATGTGAATTAAATAAGATAAATTTGTATGGGTGAAGTTCTGCGATGTAAAAAAAATTGATACACAGAAGTTAGAATCAACCAGTTTAAAAAGATAGAATATACTGAAAGGATATCTTAGGCTTCCCTAAATGCGTAGAAATATCCTCGTTCTTGTTTAGATTTTTTTTAATTGTTACCTAAATAATTCTTTACATTAAATGCAAAGAAGAAAAACAGATAATAACAGTTTATAAATACAATACATTAAATAAATTACTAAAATAATTGGAGCAAAGATAGAAAGAATTATGTGCACTTTTTTTCCTTCAAAAAACTAGCATAGAAATCTAACATAAAAATTTATAATTTGTTTTATGTTAACTAGGCTAATTATCTTATTAGTTTGCCTTTATTTGCACTTTCGTTAACTCACACAAGAATGCAAGGTACTTAAATTATAAATAAGTAGACCTCTTGAATTTAAATGGAGGGCTTTTGGCATTTTTTTGCTGACCGTTATTCTATTACACTTCCTTGCTGCTTGAGTGAAGTTTGTTAGCTTAGCCTCGAAAATTTGCATTTTATCCGCGAATAGTTAAGTGCATTTTAATTTGTATGTCAAAATTAATTTGCCTTGAATATATGCTCTGCAATTCCCTCAATGGTGTTTTGGCTGTATTATATTTTAAGCTTTATGTAACCCTAAATTTTGAGTGTTAATAAATATATTTTGTCTGAAACCTTCATTTTGAATTTACGATCTCTGTAGTTAGAAAATATTAAACGAGATGGTTAGTCGTCTGATGAGCCTTTACTGTTCTAATAGTTCTGACACATTAAAATATAGAATAACCATATAACTTTATTTAAATTATATAATTGATATACGCAAATATCATATGTCCAATTCAAACTGAATGATGTGATTTTCCAAACCTGTCACTTCTATATTACATAGAACATCCACACGCTCATTTTCAGAATTTTCTGCCTTTCTTGGTACAGTTGCAAAGTTTATTCCACCTTAAAACTGATGATTGATATCATCAAAATAACCTCTGTTTATTTTATGTTATTTTGCATCCTCGAAAAATTTTTAAGTTTCAGAAATGTTTCCTGCATTTCGTCACTTAAGATTTTAAATATCTATAAAGAAATTTCAATTATAAATCAAAAATTTGATTGGTTGACTGAATGCTTTAATTAATGAAAGATATTCGAAGATTATCTGCGAAAGAACAGATAGCTTTGTGTAGGACTTTTAACGGAGACCGGACTGCATTCCCGTTACATGAGTAAAACCTGGCAAATCTCACGCAGCCAGATCATTCACTCTGTAATAGATCAAGGTAAATAAACTATCAGGTTCAGTGTTCCTCCTTACTTGCTTGGGGAACATTAGATGACCTGACTCGGAACAGGGAGCTTACTAAAGCTATGTTCAATAAATGTGGGAAGTAGACAAGATCACAGGAGGGTATACGAAACCTTTATTTTTCTCTTTTACAATGATTTCGGACTTCGGAATACAGAGATCAACCACTTGGGTCTGAACGTAAGAATATAAAAATATTAATAAATCTAACTAAACTAATTTGGATAATAAACAAGTGTCTACTTGAAGATTGGCCGATATTACAGAAAGGCCTATGTAGTACAGAGAATGTTAACACACAATACGTTTAAAAAATTATCAAGGATTAAAACCTTGGCCTGGAAGGGCAACCAGCAACCAAGTAAAACTGCTAAGGCAAGCGGCCTGCTTCTACTAACTCCTCCTCTCTTCGCTTGGCAAAAAGCCACAACTAAGTACTTGATTGCAAGACAAATTTGCATAAATAAGTAAGCTTTAATTCTGGCCGGAAGTAGAAAATAAGAAGTGATAGTAAAGATTTAAAATAAAATAAACGTTAGTAAAACTTAAGATCCTTACAAAACTACCAGTGATTTGCTACTTTAGTCCCTGTCCACTGACAGATTCAAAAAGAAAAATAAAAAAATGAGTATAAGCTTTAAAAGAAAACGGTACCCAAAGATTCCGATTGGTGAGTAAACCACAGTGTGGCGAAAATGTTTAGATCAAAAAGTGCCTAAATTAAAAAATTAAGCAGTTTAGTAAAATAAATAATTTTTTTTATCAAAACTTGCAAATTAAATTTCTATATATCACCGATTTCTAAACATAATAATTTTTTTGAAAATTGATGTAATAAATATTTTATTATAACAGAAAATGAGGAAATCTGGGGCGAATTCTAGTGATGTCATTATTTGAATGCCAACGGCAGGCGGGTTTTTTTTTTTTTTTTTTTTTTTTTTTTTTTAATGTTATTTAAAAGTAAGAGAAGAAAATTTCCCTTTGTGGAAAAAAGCCAACACCCCTCCAAACTGCAAATTAGTCACCATGGCACGTTTACATGTAACGGGAACCTCGCAGCTTTTATGTTAATGAGATACTGGAACAATAGCCGCCGACCAGTGGTCAAAGGCGGGAAGAGCGGCCGCGTGTGACCGCCAGTCCGAAGGCCACCCACTTTGCGGGGGATGTTGTCAGGGGAAGTGGGACGAACGTCCATCAATGTATCTTAAGCCCGACCCGGTAAACGTCCCGCCCGATTTGTACCTACCACAAAAACCAGCATCCTTCAAAAAGACACACTTGTTACTTACACCAACGGATGACGTTCACTCCAGGTTTAACTTGCTCTCCGCACACGAACCTGGTAAGTTCTGGTTATGATTACTCTATGTTTCGGTGTAATTACTTCCGTTTTGGCAAGCTCTATAGTTCTTCCCCATGCACTAACAGAAATGTATAAGCAAAAGCTACAAAACTTTCCCTTCATAAGCAATAAATTAGCTTAATTGTTTAGAGCAATTTAAAACCATTTGCAAAGTCCTCTTGAAGTGTACTTAGATAATGATATATTAGTGAAATGAAATATTCAAAATGAAACCTTTCTTAAATCAGACGATCCAGTTTACCATATTAAATGCTGAATTAAAAATAATCAATGCATAAAGAATAAAATCCAAAAACGAAAGTGATATTATTAGAAAAGGCGATTATAAATTTGCACTGCATATTAATCGTTTAAATTATTTAATATTTTTGGTTCTCTCCTTATTTTGGGAATCAGAAAATATTCCGAATTGGAAAGGATTGTTTGTTCATCCTGCAAATTAACATACTGAAGTGGTTTATGCATCTGTTTACATTTCAAATATTTACAAAAATCGGATAACTTCTCAGACTTTCGCTTTCAAGCTACGAAGAACATTCGTATATATTGATATTCAGAATTTAGTGCTATTTCAGCTGAAGTTGTAAAATTTATTTCAGCCTTGGAACTGATAATTAAATATTTGAAACAGCCTCCACAAACTTTAGTCATTTATTTATTTACTTTAGAATGTTATTGTTATTTAAATAATTAACCCTTTATTATGATTTAGACCTTTACTGTGACTTCTTATTTCCGCTTCCCCACCAGAATGCAAATACGTTTGAGAATATTTAAACTGAGGTTTTCGGATTGTAAGGTAGAGCGTGTTTCTGCCTCTTGAGGCCACGTTATTTAATTTTGCATGCTTTGATAAGATTGCAATTATTCGGCCTCGCGTTATGACTGCCATCATTTAAATTGTCCCGCCGGTTGAAGCTCTGATTCAACTTAGTGTTAGAGTTAAATTGTGTAGTAGTGGTGACTTATTATGTGAGTGAGCCTGAGACGAGCAGTTTATGTTCAAGTTTCTGATTTTTTTTAAAATGTTTGTTTTAAGCATTTTCAAGACTCTGTAGTTCATTTCAGACCCAACAATAATTCGCTTACTGTCTGTTAGATATTTTATTTGTAGTTATGCTAACAAATAAAGTCAGATTCTATAACTTCTATTTATTTTTTATCCTTTTTTTTAAACTTGAGAAATATCTCTTTAATCGTTACACTTACTCATAATAGTAGGCTTTTCTAATATTTCATTATAGAGGTTTCGCAAAATTATGTCTGATTAGAATGATAGTAAGAAAATATTATTAAGCTTAAATGTGGAATCTTAAACTTTTCTCTCTTAATTTCTAAAATGGTTCTTTTTTTCTCAAATACTATGTTATGAACCTGAAACGAACTTATCTAAAAAACTGCGTAAGAGGAAAATGAGAAATCATTCGAAAACTTTAAACACAAATACATTGCAGATCTCTCTTTTTTTCCTTTTCCTCCTTTTACTTCTTCTCTCTTTTTAGTCCAAAGGGGCTTTGTCCCTGAACGACTATTGTTTTTGTTTTGCGATTTTGCGTTAAATCTGCTGTAAATGTCCATTTCACTTTTCAAACTGTTTCCACCAAATGTTAGTGTCCTGCATTATATTTGAAGAAATTAAATAATGAAAAATCTGCATAAATATATGTATATTTCTTGCATTGTGATAAAACAACGGTACATAGAGCCAGCGAATTTTGAAAGACGTAATCCTCCAACGAATATGAGCATGTGGAAAGACCAAATTTGAAATTTGAAATTTTTTATGATCGATTTCCTATTTTTTAAAACTTTGACGAATTTTTGATTAACAAACTCAAGGATTTCAAAGCGAGCAATGGCAACGTTGTGCAGAAAACATTTTTATCTCCAGCGCGTGAGTCTCTGTATCGGAAATTCTAAAGATATGCTCGTTTTTTTAAAATTATTTGCGATATTGCTGTTGCACTGGATCTTATGGTTTAAGTGCGAGGAACATGATATTTAATAAATAAAGGTAACACACAAAACGTTAAAAAAACGCCCCTTTGGACTTAACTTAAACCTTTCAGATTTTTCTTCTTTTTTAAAGTTTTTTTTTAAAGTTTTAAAGTTGTAAAGTTCGTTCCATTAATCTGTTCAACCTCTCAGCCCTTTCCTGTTAGTTTCTCTATTTCAATTACTTTTCTTGCATCAGACTAAGTGGCAAATTAAGCTAACAAATAATGAGATAATAAAAAGAGTTTAAAAATACGTATAGTTGTATTAAATTAGACAGAGCCTCATTTCTTTAAATGCTAATTTATAGAAACTAAATAAGTATTATACTAGCATTATTTTTGCATTTTGCTCTGTGGGTCTAACAGTTAACATTCACTTTTGTGCACTCAAAAATCCGGCTTCTTGCCCGCTGTCTAAATTGCTTGTTTTTCTGTAGAAACTGTAATTTTAATTGTAATTTTTTAAAACTGTTTTAACTTTATTTGGTGTTCTTTTTTTTCTGTTTTTTACAATTTTTAATGAAGATATTTTGAGTTATGTACTTTTGTCTTGTCGCGAAGAGAAAACTGAATGAATTGAATGAGAAATACTTGGCTAATGAAATTCGAGAAAATAACTGTAAATGAAATGCGGCAAAAATTGCGTATAATTTAATATGCCGTACGAGGCAGTCATGTGAGCCCACGTCAGATTTTTTATTTATGTTATTTTATTACACTTAGCAGCTATTTAACTTCAATGACACCTTGGGTGTGGTTAGGCTGTGGCTTTAAAAAATTAATTCATGATTCCACTTCTTTTGTTGGTTAGGAATGTTTAGTTCAGCTCTAAACTAAATTTCCTTAGAATAATTATCGAAGGCCATAAATCCCAAAGAAATATTAGAAAGTGGCTATAATTAGTAGTTAATTGAATAGGTTTAAAAATTAAACCAGTTTTATTTCCCTTAATATTTGCTAATGAAAGGTTTTCATTGGTTCTCTTTTCGAAATTCTCCATCTTTTAAGTTACGTTGATTTTTGACCTCGTTATGTACTCCTAATATTGTTAATAGCCTGACTAATATATTATGATAGATCAGCGGTTCTCAGCCTTTTGACCAAGGCGTACCATCTAAACAAAAATTGAAAACCTTTAGTACCCCCACTACAAAGTATTACTACCACCACCACTCTTGAAAAAAGCGCAGATCGCAAAAATTTACGAGTGTTACAGAAAAACCTCAATCAGGATGTTGGTTTTAATTTTTGAATTTAATAGTTAAAAATACTTTGATTCTTTGCGTACCACCTATTTTTCTCTTACTTACCACCAGTGGTACGAGTATCGCCGTTTGAGAACCCCTGTGATTGATGAAAAGACAAATTTCAGCAAATGATATTTGACTAAAATGGTATGAAAATTATCTTTATAAAACGCGAAAATACACTTGATTTACAAGCTAGAGGTATGCATCTTGTTATGCTCAAATCCTTTCACTGTTACGATCTTTAGAATTACATCCTAAAATTATATTTCAATGATACAAAGATGTTCTCTTTAATAATGTGCTTGTATCGCTCTTAATTTTTTATTTTTGTCATAACATTTTGAAAAATATATTTCTTCTCTTGCTATGAATGATGATTATTAGGGCTTTTGTTCAATAACCAATTAAGACATAAGGTATGTAAGTCAATAAGACATAAAACGGTAACAATAAAGCGGTAACAAATTTCTCGTTTTCATGATTTTCTTCTGAACTTATATAATATAAGTTGTAGTTAAGTTATGAGTTAAGTTACTGTTGAGTTATATACATAGAAGTTATGAAGTGTACTACCCTTCAATTCTCTTCTCTTATAGATTTCGATATTAGTAATGTCATGTCTTCGCTAATATTGACTTTTCCATGACTTTTGAAATCTTTTTCATGAGAACAAAGGAGTGTTGTACACTTATCAACTGATAGATTTTCCTTCACCTAAGTGTAACTATCTTGATTTATATGCTAAATGAACAGAACAAAGGGTCGAAGAACCAGATAGCCTGAATTTAAACTATTCCGTAAATCCCCTAAGTTTGAAAGATGATTTACCATATTATCATCTCGTTCCACTTGATCCCACGAATGGCGGATTCCCAGTATTTCAACACCGGCCCGAGGTTCAAATTCAGCGAACGGGCTGGCTGCATGGACGTTTTCGGGGATTTCTCATGTGTAATATGTATACGGTCCAATTTCCCTTAGAAAGTTCTCCACGAAGGCATTTATTCCCTTATACAGATAACCGTCGAGTGCTTTGCAGTAGTTAAATAAACCAAACCAATCCAAAAACGTTGCACATGAACTGGAAAGCCTGCAAGCATATATTATACAGTTCATTTTTAGACACTGCTTCAAATTATTAACGCAATTCAAACTAAACTTCTGTAGCAGCATGAAATCCGATAACTGTTTAAAGTATTTATTCTATCATCTATCATAGAATTCTTTAACACCATCACAGGATTAACGTTTGCATTTTGAACCCCTGTAAATTCTCTAGTTTGTACCCCTGTAAATGTAGTTATCTTGCATTATAAGTTGTTTCTTTTGAAGCCAAAACACAGGGGAAGAAATGTTCACGCTACTTCAGGATGGAGAAACATCGAATGTACTCTACTTTTCAATATGAGTTTGTGTGCAATTCTTGATTAGCATATATCTCAGCAATCATAACTTTATAAAAGGGAATTTCATGCAATAAATAGTAAAACGTTACTAAAGTAATTTCCTTATTCAAGGAAGTGTTAAAAAATAACCAATGAAATCGTTATACTTTGGAAATTTTTATTACATGAGTAAATCTAGAATCCTGTGATGTACTCTCCTCTCGTTATTTATCCACTGTAATCATAATGTGTAATGGAACATAGTTTTAGGACGGATGTTGCAGTTAGACAAGCGAAATAAGTCACAACAATAAATATGATAAAATGAGCTTTGGGCAACTTTATGG